AACTAAAATATTGAAATACTTGTTTTAAAAGTATCATGACAGAACTACCCAGCATATGAAACATCATGTGGTCACATGGAGCTTTGCACGCACAGTGATGGGTGTCAGACTACCCAAAGCTAGACTGGCTGTGCCTAAAACATTGTCATACCCTCTACTAACCCAGGTTCCCGTCACTTCACTGGCAGGTCTCAGACCTCTGCCTCTAAAAGGACCCAGTCATTGAGAGGCAGTGTTCAGCTTAGTGGGTTAGGATGCTATGATCAGAAGGTTGTTGGTTCAAATCCCACAGTCAGCAGAATGCTGAAACTGTTGGGCCCTTAAGCCCCAACTGCTCCAGGGACTGTCAGACCCTGCTTTAAATTATGTTGCGCTTTGGCTAATAGCATCCGTTACATAAAGCCATCGTCATGTGCTGCACAGTGCCACAGGATTTAAGTTATTGCAATCATGACAGTACAATTATGCCTAACTGCAAACAGAAATGTATAGGCAGTAGAGGGGCGGAGCGTGGCCTTTCCTGTTGAGTAAACCACACACTGTAACGCTGTGAAGATGTACACCATCGGGGCAGCTTCATGGTCCACTTTAACGCTCCAATATACTTATCCTAAGAGTACGAGGGGTAAGATGAGGTCATTTTGGAAGAAGAGCAAGATGCACTTCAAACACAGCATTAAATTATCCATAAACCCCCAGAAAGCATTTGGAAAGCACCAGGAAGTCAGTGAATTACTGTCAGAACTGACAAGGAGGTATAAGGAGAGGGGGAATTAAATTACACCCGTGACACTCGCTGTTAAATGAACACGCCTGGAGAAAGAGAACGGCAGGAGTACAAGTCGAAACCAAGACCGTAAAGAAGATCTGAATCTAGTATGAGACTGACGTGCTGATGTTCTATTCATTTGTAATGAGAGCTTAGCTTCTTAAGAAGTAGCTTCGGGTTTTCACCTGGAATTTGACAATCTAATCAAGTAAATAATTGATCTTCTGACCCTGTAGGAAGCAGCTAGCCTCCTCTCGGAGCATACCTGAGTGACATCCTGGAAACCCTCCCTAGCCAACATGGTGTGTGTTTAGCTAAGTCTGTGTCATGCTGTGCGCTACATAAGCTATATTATCCCTCAGTGTGGACTGCACTGCCCATCACCCACCCTCTAGCCCATTTCTTAGCTGTGTTGATTAATAGCTGTTTACTGCAGCAGCCGTTAATCGAGTTAATGTTTGGCTAAAAACTAAAGGTAGCTCATTCCTAGTAGTTAAAGTTACTTATGTGCCATGGGTATCTCTCGGAATAACACGGGAATCACGGTGTGTGGCGTTTAAATATACCCAGCGTCCAAATGAAGCTCGGCGATGAACCAACATGCAGAATAACAAATCAAATGCCGGCGTTAATTCTCCGGCTTAAAGGTGGTGGATTTATTCGTCGTGCTTTTCATTTTGCAAGAATGACTGTTCGCAGTGTGCACAGGAAGCAGGCAGCTGTGCCCCAGCTGAATTATCCCTCTCATTCCGTCTAATCCCGGCTTCCTGGATGCTTGAGCCCATGTGCAGCGCCCTCCGCAGCGTGGGAGTGGAGTGCGGAGCGCATGCAGCACGGAAGCACGTCCACGGGGCGCGGCGGCACCGCCCCGAAGGACAGCGTCGCGTTTCACCGGCCTTGGGGTAGAAGAAGAACGGAGCCCATGCTCTCTGGCTCTCACTCCCTCGGGTGGCTCGGGTTTCGGTGCTGGCCCAGCGTCGCCCGCTCCCCATGGGTCTCCGAACTGGCAACCCCACAATGAGCGTCTTTGACAGCTTTCTCCCGCGACCGATCACAAGGAAGAGCACAACTGGAGCAACAACAACAAGGCGGCCACTGTGCCGGCGGAAACAAGCGGCACATTAAGTGCCTGTCGGGAGCGGCAGCGGCGCGGGAGGCCTGCCTCTGCAGATCCGCACGTACGGCAAGGACTCCCCGCTGGCTGGCGTCCAGCCCCAAATCCCCCCAAATCCCCCCAAATCCCCACTCCCCCAGGTCTTGCTGGAGGGGGGACAGAGGGGGCACACCTGCACCTTCTCTGCATCAATCCGTCTTCAGGGCTCAGCCTCAGAAATGAAGTCACCTCACCCGGTGCTTCAGGAACCGGACCTGCAGGCCCCCCCCCTGGTGGTACAGAGGCCGAGCACTACATATCCCTGTGTATTTAATAAAGCTGGGGGGGGCTGTTTTCACTCTAATCCGGTACAGAGACCAGACAGTGCCCTTGGAAATGCATGCAAGCAGATTCCTCCTTTTCACCTGCATACTTGTGACCATCCCGAAAATAAACTTTTAAACTTTTAATGAATAAAAACAAAACTGACTCCTAAATACACATAATCAGGCATGTGGGTCAAAGCACTCGGCCATTTTGACCACCTCAAGTGAACCAACAAACCCCCCCACCCCACTCCAGACCCTCCTGTTATACTCTCCCTATGTTCTTCACCCGTAACTGAGCTTAGTTGCTGTTTCTGCTCAGCTATCAGTCCAGCTGGTCTTTGTTTTTCCCCCCCTGTTTTATTAGCAAACAGAAAGCCAGCTGGGCATCATCTAACACAAGAAAGCTCTAATCCCAAAGGAAAACAGACAGGAAGAGCCATATAAAACCTGGATAATGCAAGTATCACCCTGCACCAGGTCAGAGTCCGTCCAGAAAACCTCAATCCAGAGCGTCAGGAGTGAATATCTTATGTCTGTACTGCATGTCGCACTAGCAGGATGCTGCCTGGAGAAGCACCCCCTTCCATCCCCCCGCACACAGACAGAGTGCAGTCAGGGGCAGCTTGGTAAGAAAACACCAGAAGCTCCGGCCAATGGATGAGGTCACCGTGTGCATTAGGCCACGCCCACTCCAGGTGTCACCTCTAGATTACAGGTAGACGCCCATGCACTGGCAGCTCTATTACAAGGCTGTGTGAAATGTACTCCTCCTTGAGGGGGGGGGGCTGGGTTCTGTGCCCCCCTCCCTCCCCCGTGAGCCCGGGAACTCTTTGTAGTTTTGCACAGGGGAGCCTTATGTTTAAGTCATTTCTGCTCCCGCGTTGTGTGAAAAAACGGTTAAGAGGCAGCGGCTGAGCCGCGCGGATGTGGAAAGCCGGCCGGTGTCTCCCGCTACCGTCTCTGACTCACCCGGCCCTCCAGCAGGCAGCTGACACCTTGGCACAGTGCCAGCGCTGACTCCCGCCACTGCAACGTGCCGGTCGCCATGTAGACCTGAGGAGAGAGCGAGAGCGAGCGAGAGAGAGAGTGAGAGAGAGTCGCCCGTCCCAAAGCCAAGAGCAGCCACTACTGGAGGATAGGGAAAGTCATTCATAAAAGAGCTGAGCACTGAGCAGAAGGAAAATGTGAACCAGAATCTTTTGAACAGTGTATTTATTTAGCAGAAGGTACTTTTTGGGAAAGGACGGTCTGCCAGTCCCTGGAGCAACTTGGGTTAAGGTCCCAATGGTGACATCACTCTGCTGACACTGGCATTCGAAATGGTGACCTTCCAACCACAGGCATAGTGCCCTAACGTGCTGAGCCACACAGCGCCCCCTAAAGCCCGAAACACAACACTGCCCTTACATATATGTATTAACGGATATGCTTCAGCATTTAATATATGACATTACGACTCTGCGGCAGCTGTGTTCCGAGCCCAGGTGCAAAGAATGGTTTCCCCACTTAGGCGTCTGTTCTCAGGGCTGGAAAGCAATCAGCTGCATAATTGCATTTTTCAGTGTGCTGATGCTGCTTGTTTCTGACCATGAGGTCACGCTGTTGTAAAACTGTAATCCCCCCTAGAAGACCCCCCGCCTAAACCTGTCGCCCGTTGAGCACCCTGACTGCAGACAGGGTCTCCTCTGTTGTTGCCGCCCGGCAGGGTGACGGCATGTGACTTGTCCGCTTGGCCCATTTTCTCATGGCGTGCTTGAACTTTGACCCCTTGATCCTGCCCCAGACAATAAGTCAGGAGATGGATGGGGGGGGCATTAGGGCCACTCTCGATGACTGGGGGGGATTATGACCCCCTCCCCCGCCCCACCCGAGGAGGTCACCTTAGCTTTTGGACCAGGACCTGGAGAGCTGGGAGCCAAACTTGCCAGTTAGGGTCACGGTGCACTAGTGGCACGAGGAGGCTAATGTGACAGTGACACGAAGTGCACTTAACGCATGGGGACGTGCTTTCTGGTTCTGGTGACGGTACTGATGGCCCTTGGCTGTTTTTGCTGGATCGCAGCTCGTGAATTTGTGTCAGGTTCAGCAAACGTGCGGGACGTGTGAAAGAAGTGCCAGGGCACGAGCAGAAAACGAAATTTCTGTACGTGCAGGAATCGTGACGAGTATCGGAGCATAAACCGCCATTCCGTTCCTCCAGGGCGTCACGGCTGTGAAGCGAGACCATCGGACAGCCTGGGAGAAGCCTGGGCACTTGTTTTTAGCTGAACACACTTCCTTAACACAGACTACAATGTGTGAGTATGACAGCATGACCCAGGGGGACAAGCAGTGAACATCAGGGATTGAAGCTCATATATGAATATCGGCCGTGAGCTGACCGGTGCTGCGACCTTCAGCTGGAGGGGCCTGAGGTGCGTGTGTGTGGCCTGGGGGGGGGGGGCTCTGCTGGAAGCAGCCCCTGCTCTCTCATTTCTTCCAGGAATTCTGGAGGGCGGCTGATTTGCTTTTCCCATTAACCTCCCTCACAAGGTGACCCACTTTTTTTTCTCGACGTGCCACATGTGCGCCGTCTGGCCACGTGGAGGGCAGACCGGCGACACCTCTTCCTCTCCACATGTGGGGAGGGGGGGGCGCACACAAGGAGCTTGTACAAGGAGGGGAAGAGCGTGCAAAGGTGGGGGCGCAACAACTGCACTCTGCAGCTGTGGGCCTACGTGAGCTGAGGCAGGCACGCTGAAGCGGCAGGCTGCCCCCCCCCCCCCCCCGGCTTCCCGTGGGCGCGATCCAGCCCAGAACGAGACCTTGACAATGAAAGATGTGTCGTTGTTACTCCTGAGGACATCTGACACCTCTAAAAAGGCAGCCTGAAGAAGAGCCAAGATCCATTTTCCCACACGGTCCATCCAAAGAGCCCCGTGTTAGTGTGTGTAAGTCTCTCAGGGAAGCTCTGTTTATATACCAGTGAGTCTCTATTTATATTTTATTGGCGCTTAAAGAAAACTGTGTGTGTGAGTGAAGTGCGGAAAATGAATATCGTATGTTTCTCATTATGCAGTCAGTCACATTGTTTCGATATGCCTCAGCAGCGCCGTGCTCTTAATGTGATGCATATCTCTGGCGGTACAGGTTCAACAGTCAAGGGCCAGAAAAGGAAAAGAGGTGGGCAGGTCACGTCTGCAGCCCAGTGCCCAGAAGGTGAGACCGTCCAAATTACAGTGACAGCAGGCTTAGACCGCTTCCATACAGCTGTCATTTTCCAGTCAGACAGACAGACAGACACACGCAGATACAGAAATGCACCCAGATGAGACCTTGTGGTGTTTGGGGGGGGGGGGGGATGGGGGGGCTGGCACAAGCATGATCTTCAAGGACGAAAACACCCCCATGGTTTGTGGTGCGAGCCGGGCCCAGCTGTGCCGCCGTGACCTGACTTCTCTCCAATCACACCCAAACCCCAATTTACCAATAAACAAACAAACCAGCAAGACCGTAATACATCCTGCAAGTAGTCCGGTCACTGAGCAATCTTTCTAGAGGTTAATGGAAAATATAAAATTACCCAGAACGTCAACATTGTCGAGAACTCCTGGGAAGAGCTTCAAGAGAAACAGCGAAGGACAAATGTGACTTTAAACAGCAGAAGACGAGGTCTTCAACATCATAGAGATGCTCTGATATGAGGGGCTACTGTAGATTAGGGATCCTCAACCTTTTGATGAAGGCAAACAAGCATGCGCTGTTAGAATTTTACAGACTGGAGGAACACTTGCATGGACCGTGGGTCAGGAACCACTGGGCTCAGTGACTAGTACCTGGCTTGCTCACTCCAAGGTCATCCTGACACGTCCATCCCCAGGTCCGTAAGTGCAGGATAAGGTTCAGCTGCACGTTACATTTCATAGTGAGTGAGTCAGTGATGCTGACTCATCTCCAGATGATTCAGGATTGAGCAAAGTTCCCGTGGATTTTGCTGCCACCTAGTGCTGATGAGGATGCCATTGCACTACTGACCAGAGTGAATGTGACCAAATGGGATCGGTGATTGGCAGAACACTTTCCCAATATCCAACACCCATTCAGTGGTAGGGAAGACCCTTCTGTACTGGTGGGACACTTGAATGTCATATGGTTTTTATTGATGCATCTTTGTTTAAACACTTACAAATAACAGGTATTAATGGAACTGCTCCTTAAGACACCCCAGGATTCATCTCTGAGAACAAGAAAGATTTTTACAAGGACATAGGAACATGAACCCATCATCTGTAATAATGAGACAGACCTTTGTGATACATAGCAGATGATAATTCAGGGGAAGGCTACGCTAATCCTGGAGTGCTAATCCTGGAATGCTAATCCTGGAATGCTAATCCTGGAATGCTAATCCTGGAATGCTAATCCTGGAATGCCAGCCCAGGTTTTCCATCCCACCTGATCTCTAATGAACCACACCTGATCCCAGATTGTAAGTCATCAGGTAGGGTAGAAAACTTGCTGGATAAAGGCACTCCAGGATCAGGGTTGCCTACCCCTGTGGTAGCAGATAGTATACAGCTGAAAGTGAAGATTTATGACCTAGCATGACCTCCAGTGATGAAAGTGCAGGTTTCACCAACCCCAGATCTGACCTCCAGATGTAGATAGTGAAGAACCACTGACCCTCACAGAAATCCAGTATCCTATCGGCTATTAATCATAGGTTTAGGTGTGTATGTCGGGTTTGGGCCAGAAACGGAGCTGTATACAACTCACAGTGGCTTTACAAGCAAACCAACTCTGGAGGTCAGGATTACGACACAGTATCCATAGTAGCCTTATCTCTCTGGAAATGTCAAGGTTGTCAAAATGGGAAAAAAAACTAAACACAAAGCTGACAGAGGACAAACCAGAACAACAAGCATGTTTATACCACTCATTACTCATGAAAACCCGCCCTTTGGTCTGGGGGGGAAAGTCTAGAAATTTCCCGAAGGTTTTTATGTGGCTGAACTGCAGGCCCAGTGGAAATTATAGGATGAAAAAGTGAACGAATGACAGAAAGTGTGGGCGAGGGAGGGAGGGAATACGCCAGAGAACAGCTTGGTCAGAGTTCGAGAAGAAAAACTGGGGGGGGGGGGGTCAGCGGAAACAAACACTCCACAACGCACAAATACCGTTTGCCAAGATTTTAATCATCCTGACTGGCTGTTTACTGAGCAAAATTTACAAGTTCCACCACTGTCCAACTCAGCTGGAGTACTAATAACTTCACAGTGAAATGTCAGGCACTTGATGGTCAAAATCTTAATCTGGATGTTTGATTATCAGTTCCAATATCACTTCCTTCAAAATCAGCCAAGATCAACAAGCTTAAAAAACACATTTTATTTATAAAATCAATAAAACAGGAGTACTGGCTGGTAGCTACCTGAACGATGTAAACATTGATTGGAAGTTATACCCCTCGAGGGTCTCTGAAGGTGAGGCGGAGCTTCTCAGCACACTGGGGTCACAACGTCACTCTGGACCTGTGTCGGGGGTCAGGGTACCTCGCACCCTCCTCCCAGACGCCCGCTTTGGGGATCAGGTACCACATAACCACCCCCGAGGGGTTAACGGAGACGGTAAACTCTGTGGAGTCCTTCAACATCGGCATCGTCTTCTGCAAGAACACATCATACACCTGCGAGGAGAAGATGGAGGGAGATGGAGAAGATGGAGGGAGAGGTGAGGCAGAGTTCAGGAAGGAGCGAGGGGGGCTGAGGCGGAGTGCACCGGATCACGCATGGCCGGAGCAGACCTTATAGACGCCTGCAGTGTAGTTTAGTTTCCCCAGGCTGGTGGTGTAGCGGTACGGCATGTCAGTGCGTCGGCTGAAGAAGACTAGCGTGCTAGCCGAATCCGACAGGGGGCGCCAGAACACCTCAATACCGCTGCTCTCCTGCGAAAGAAGGAAGGGGGGGCATTATGGTTCTGACAGGCCAGCTACAGGATGAACAGTCATCACTCGGTCAACTTGGAGAAGAGGACATAATGAAAAGGAACAAACATGAAATGTAACGGATATTCTATGGTCTATATACAAAAAATATACAAGTGCTAATAGAGAAGTACAGCGAAATATTTGTGAGTAAACATACCTTCAACAGGCGCCCACCCTGGACACCCATGGGGTCCTGATTGATGCCTATGACAGCTTTGTTCTGCAGAATGGCCCGCGCCTCGCTGCTCAGAGTGCGAAGGTCAGTGGACATGAAGAGGGGAGCCGCCATGATGGCCCAGAGAGCCATTTGGGAGCGTGACTGTTCCACACTGAGGCCGAAGTTCCCGATGACAAGCTGCGTGGAAAAACCCATCCTTTTTAATGTCAACTCGCAGCTACAGACCTGAGAACTCACAGAAACAGCCACTCTGTGGGGGGGGTCATACCATATCAGGGTCGTTCCATTTCCCGGGCCCAGCAGCAGGCTGCAGAATATCCTGGTGGGTCATGAACCAATCCACAATGCCCAGGACACTAGCCCAGGAATCCTCAATATCGCCATAGTTACGCCACAGATTACAAATGTCTCCCAGCAGTGAGTAGTTTACCTGTGTAGAGTCACAGTTATAGGCAGCTAAGTATGCTCTTGGGTGCAGGAAAGAAGCAAGTAAACAGAAGACAGAACAACGGACGATGATTTTCTATGGAATGCTTTGGTTCTTTAGTATGGTGCGTACATACAGGGATGCACATATCTGCTACGCAAGTATGCATCTGATGTATAGAGACACATGGCAATTTCTTGCCGCAACATATCAGCACATAAAATAGGCATTTGTGCTGTTATGACAAAAAATTACTATGCGTTTTAACCTTTTTTGGGCTAATGCATACTTCATTTGTGGTATAAAGGTTAAAATGAACTGTAATTTCTCCTCATAACAGCACAAATGCATATTTTATGTGTATCTGTGCAGTTACACCAAGAAATTGCCAGGCGTATCGCTTTATACACCAAATGAATACTTGCCTACCTGGTATGTGCATCCCTGACTACGTACAAGCTTAGTCATTAATGGATTCTCAATCACGCAGCTTATCTGGATTTACTGCACCTCTCTTCAGTAAGGATACCAACTGCATCCTTGGCCAGACTTACATTAGGAGGAAGCCCACCCTGGTAGGCAGGCCAGCTGCAGGAGTAGCCAATCGGCCGGCCCGTGGCATTCAGAGCCGCTGACATCAGAGGATAACCTACCAGAGAGACACAAGATCTATGAGCTGTCAGTGGATGCCTGACACTTCCTGGTATCTTGCCCATGGCCCATCCCGAGCCCGGCATCCCGAGCCCAGCACCCTCTCCCCTGTTTCCCCTCCATTCTTCTGTGGCGCTCACCTTTCTCCTGCTCTGTAGCATTAGAGTAGCAGCCGTCCAGTTTTAGCATGTCCACGCCCCACTCAGCGAAGGTCTCAGCGTCCACCTTGATCTTGTCGAGCGTGGTGCCCGGGTAGCCGCCACAGGTGTGCGTGCCCAGGTCCCCGTAGATGCCCAGTTTCAGGCCTCGGTCATGGATGTAGCGGGCCAGTTTGGGGATTCCTCCTGGGAATCTGGGATGGCAGGAGAGGAAGGGAGAGTCAGCTCCAGAGGGCGTCAACACCTTCAGCAGTGTGTGACTGCCGCGGTCCCGATATTCAGGATATTCTATGGTATATACTGTATACACTGTCTATATGCAAAATATATACACATGCTAAGAGGTACAAGGAAGAAACCTTTGAGTGATGTTACCTTCAACAGGCATGTACCCTGGACACCCATGCGTAGTGATGGCTAAATGAAGCTTCATGAACCATTTGCTGTATTTTTTGACTGCAGTAGATGGCGCTCTTGGTTTGCTTTGGGACATGCTTTGAGCCCTTTTTTGAATAGAAAGAACCATCTAGTGGGGTCAGAAAATACAGCAAATGGTTCATGAAGCTTGATTTGGCTATGACTATGCATAGGGTCCTGATTCATAGCCCCTGAAAATGGCTTCCCAGCAGCATCCAAATTACACTGCATATATTTAACTTATCAGATGCTTTTTTCTAAAGTGAGATACTTTTTTTCAGAAAGCAGGGTGAGCCAGTCTCTGGAGCAATTGGGGGCTTAAGGGGCTCCCAACGGTGAGATCAGTCTGCTGAACCTGGGATGTGAACCTTCCAATCTGAGGTACAACACCAAACCCGCTGATTCGCACCCCCACCCCGATTCCAAATTCTAATCATGCGCTCAAGGTACAGAAATACAGGAAGAGAAAAGCAAAACTCCAGTTTCACATCTGTCTGTGTACAGCAGGGTTTCAATACAATGATTCAAATGAACAGCAATGCTTTGTCTCAGGGGCCTCGGCTCACTCTGGGCGACACACAAACACTGCAGAAGACGAGCAGCAGGGGGAGCCGCACCTGGTCGGGTCTGCCTGCAGTCGGCCCTGGCTGTCACGCTCCATGGAAGACCAGCAATCATCGATATTGATATAGACGTATCCCAGCTCCTTCCAGCCATCCTCAGCCAGGCGGTCCGCCATGTCCCTGAAGAGGTTCTCGCTGGATGGGTATGGAGTTAACATGATATCTGACCCAAGCACACGTCAACCAGAAACGCACATTTCACTTTACTGCGTAATACTCTCCTGCCAGCTTCACACTGTCTGCATGTGAGACTCAGTATTGTTCAGTTTGCACTTAATAATAATCGTTTACCTTATGCAATTCTTGGGGTCATTTTTACAGTCAATGTCGCATCGAAACCGTTCCCATGCCAACCAACCCATGGGAGGTGTCCTCATTAGACCATTGTCCAAAGCGAAGGAGAATGTGGCCAGAGACAGGAACAGGGCCAGGAAACCCCCTGAAGATATCATCTTGGAGAGAAACCAGCAGAACAGGCAGTAAATTCACTGTAATTGTAAGAAGTGATCATCTGACTGTTCACCTGCCTAGAGAGAAGCTGGGTGGGGCTACACACAGAGATCTGTTTAGTGAGGCCATAGTAAACAGTCAGCTGACAGGTATTAATTTGGTTTGTAACTGGCATTTTAACGGATGGGTAACAATGCATATGTAAGTTTATGGTTATGCATTACAGGACACTGCCAATCCCCTGAACACCTAGGCTATGAGAGGAAGGAAAATAAATTTTCCACGTAATTCAATCGATTTAACAACAATAGTGATAAATATAATTATATTCCCGGAGACCGTCAGGATAAGCGCGTAGCATATTGCTGCATTAGGCATATTATTCAGGGGGGAAACAATGTCACAGAAAAGGTTGCATGTTTGACATAACTATATGCTCCGGAGTAACTGAATAAATTTGTTTCATACATGCTCACGCTGTTTCAGCTTCTGGTATTTAATATTAAATACGCGATATTTATTTCGTGAATAAATTATTCCCGTAATGACCGTATGATCAGGTAGCATAGTGAAGGCAGATTGACAGGGATCACCTTATACCGCGTTGATGCTCCAGCACCGGCGCCATGCCAGTTATTATGCAGCACTGTTTCGCCTTAGAAGTTAATCACTCCTTAAGGACATTTGCGCAACAGAAATCCATTTCTGTATTAATCAAGTCGCTTTATCGACAGCACATGGGGCATTTAGGGTAGCCCAGACTACATCTGCAATATTATAGTAGGCTGAACATCTGTGGTTTAGACCACGAGAAAGGGGAAAAATCCAACCCGGAGAACAACATACCACAGCAAGAAAACATAAAAGTGTACGGCAATGAAAACTGTATTTACTTCAAACAGCTTTTGATTTTAGTACGCTATAATTATTTCTGCTATAATTACACTGCATTGACATCAGCGTAATAAAATACAAAGTACCTCTTAATCCAAGAGCTGGCAATCTTTAGTCTGGGCTTCAAAACAAGCAGGAAGTCATCGCCCAAAAGCAAGACTGCAGTACAAAATCATCAGCATAATACAGCCAGACAAGTTCCTTGTTGGACGACAACCGGTCATAAATGGGAGTGTGTCATGTGATCGGCCATGTTGGTCATGTGACCGCTCACATGCGCTTCCTCAGTCAGCTGATAGTGTGCATTTACTGCAGAGCTGTCGCTATACATTTGCGATGTCTACGTCGTTTTCATACACGGTGTAGCTATGTTTATTGCAGACGCGTGATCTGCATGTGTCTAGGCGTTGTACATTGCGGGTAGATTGCAAGGATTTTACACATATAAATAGTTCTCTCAGTTTCAAATAGATAACTCCTATTCATAGAAAAGACTAATTGATATGCCAATATAAGTTAATACTTGATATGGTAAAATGTTCACCTGTAGAATACAAACAGCCTGTGAAAGCAACGTAATTAAATGTAAATTTAAACCAAATCAACGCTCTTCAATCTAAACAATAATATGCAAATTTATACCAAATAAGCATCGTAGAATCTGAAGTGAATATTCCATCCAGCTTTCTAACACTTATACAGTACAGAGCTGTGGCTCTCACCTGCTGAACGATGGATGCCAGTAAACGAAACGTAATTAAATGTAAATAAAGTCCTCTTCAGTGATGGAGATTATTCTGACCGAACCGGAGGAGTGATGCACGGTAACAGCATGCAGAAACAGTCCTTCAGTCAGTGGTTGTCCCATACGCACATTTACATCCACAACTGCAATATTCCCCTGTAAGTAAAACAAGCCTGTGGCTCAGTTTTAACTACCTGCGTTTATAAATGCAGCTAACCAAATATTGCTAATCCAATTCAGTTCCCATCTTGAGGGTGACAAGACACATGGGGTATAGCGGTAAGGAGGTCAAGAAAGCACTGATAAGGATATAAGAAGCAGAAAGTATTATAATCAGCAGAAATGAGGCAGATAGAAAAGTTACAGGAGCACCAAATGTAACGGATCGGTCAAGTTTGTGGTGAAAAGGGAAAAATTAGTTTGAATAACAACCGATGCAAAGAGTCTCATTAGGTCAATAGTAAGATGCGTACAAATTTTTACATTCCTCCATTGTGAAGTACAACAATAATGCCTTGGACATGAACCCGTAAACGTGTAATACCTCTATTTCACACGTGGAGGCAGTGTCGACCTGTGTGGAATCAGCTTCAGAGACCTCATGTCGTTACCATTGGTTTTTTGCGTGTTGTTTATGCGTGTTTGTCTGTGGTCGCCAAATGCTTGCTGTGCTTGATCTAAGAAAATACGGTTTCAGCAGCGACGTTTAATTCACTCCCACATCATACAACCGCCAAAGAACTCACAAATAATGATTATATTTCCGATTGCTTAATTTGTGTTTATTCGTTTATTGGATGAAACTTTGGCGAATTATTTCCAGTTCAGTGCTGTCTCTTTAAGAGGTTTCGTGATCGAAGAGGTTAAAAAATGCTCATATGTGTAGTACTATGAGGCTATCGTCACGTATTAGTAATATGATGCCGGTATGAAACATTGGCGCTAAGTTATAATGCTGGTAATGGCGTCTTGCGCTCTGTCAGTGGCAGTAATTTATAATGTTGGTAATAGGCTGCTGTCCTGAGGTCCATTCAAAGCACCACCGACTATTACAAATAATGTAGGGGACACATAGTACTGTAAATAATATAGGGGACATATAGTGCTGAGTTCTGTAAACAACGTAGGAGAGACACACAGTACTTAGTACAGCAAACAATGTAGGGAACACATTGTACTGAGTATTGTAAATTATGTAGGAGACACATAGTGCTGAGTACTGTAAACAATGTAGGGGACACAGTACTGAGTACTGTAAACAATGTAGGGAACACATAGTACTGAGTACTGTAAATGGTGTAGGGGACACATAGTACTGAGTACAGCAAACAATGTAGGGCACACATATTTTTACCAATTACATCTGTTCGCTTTTGATACTGACATACTGCCAGCTGCGAGAAAATTAAACGGGAGGATGAACAATGCTGGGCAATGAAACCGTGCTACGTGAAGTGATATTCAGTATGAAATGTTTAAAGATTATGTACGACACAAAAGGTATTGAGTCAAGACAAGATAAAACGGGTAACATTAGCTGCTGATACAGGCTAACATAAAATTCGCGTGTTTTTTTTACAATTTTCTTCAACCTGCTTCTGCATTCCGCAACTCCAGAAGTCAAAATCTTTTCGCGGAGAAACTCCGGATATACGCAGATTGGCATATCGCAAACAGGACTGAGGTATTGCGCATCACTATAGAGGTGCAGACTCTGATGTTTCTACAGTAAGAAAGTGCTGGGTGGTGCAGCTCTTGGGCGCTAGGACCCCGTGGCCGGGCGCTGTCGTGCGGTCACTGGCGGCTGACACGCAGCGGAGCTGCGGAGTTTGTCGCTATTTATAATAAAGTGCAGAGTAACCGGAGCAGAAGTACCCGTCTGGTCCACCACCCCGAGGAGCGCAACACGTGGTCTGCCCTGTGCCTTATAAACCTGCGCTGATCCCTGGCTTTTTGCGTGTTTTATCTGCTGGCACCGGTCTCTTCCAGAGGACTGAGAGCTTGGGGGTATCTTGCGCCAGCGGGGAAGGTGGAAAGCAGCTGGTGAAGGGGGGGGGGCAGATCGGCTCCTCCCGGGGCACGGAGTTAAATGCCTGTGCGTAACTGCGCTGCCTTCGCTTTTTGTCTGACAAGTCCCGTATTTTCGGGGAGGTGATGCGGCTCCGTGCCAGCTTAGGGTAGGGCTCTGACAGCACAAAGCAGAGTAAGGGGACGCCTGGCAGGGAGTGCGCTACTCCGATGCGCCGGAGGTGTGCGCTGACCCGCAGGCTGTGTAAACCCCCAGGGCTGGCCGTAGCTCGCTCTCCATCGGTTGTCTGCCTTTTCCGAGGAGACTTTCTGAACTACTGCTTGTTGTTTTTTTAAAATTCTATGTTTTTAATATTACTGGACGAGAGGAATTGCAATCAGCTGGAATTTTTCTTCTGTTTGGATAACGGAGTTTTGACATTTCACTTTAATGGCTTTCAGTTTTTAATCTCATTTCAGTTACAGATTTATTCATTGCTACAAAACAGTATAGAAATGCTAAATGTATCTCAAGTTTATCCAAATAATGTAATTTAGAATACGATACTGTCAAAGTCGTGTGGGCTTTTTACGTATTTGCGTGTAGAAATAATATATATAGCCATAAATTATCTATGTTCGCTTTTTGCGCTCAGCGATCGCAGTTGTTTTCCTCCAGACGGTGTTTCACGGTACTCCTTCTAAACATGAACTGCTACCTTCTCAGTCTCTTGCTGACCCTGGATCTGCTCACGGTGGCCCTCAGTCTGTCCACTTGTAGCACGCTGGACATGGATCAGTTCATGAAGAAGCGCATCGAGGCGATCCGCGGCCAGATCCTCAGCAAGCTGAAGCTGAGCAGCCCCCCGGAGCAGTATCCTGAACCCGGGGAAGTGTCCCGGGACATCATCGCCATCTACAACAGTACCAGAGACCTGCTGCAGGAGAAAGCCAACGAGAGGGCGGCGACGTGCGAGCGCCAGCGCAGCGACGAGGAGTATTACGCCAAGGAGGTGCATAAGATCGACATGCAGCCCTTCTTCCCTTCTGAAAGTGAGCCCCTCTTATATTACACCCTTTATTTTGTACAGTTTCGCGTGCTGTTGTATCGCCTGTGTGTGTGTTTGTGAGTGTGTCAATATGTGACTTACCCGCGGCGTTTAGAGCTCATTTGGCTCAAGTCACTTTATCGGGGGACTTAATTATGTTTATTGGTTCTGTGTACCGATGCCATACTCACTCAAAAAGGCACATGCTCACTTACAGGCACACACGTACACAACCAAACATACATACACACATACACATATACACACAAAGAAAATACACATTCAAGCAGTTGTACGCACATATACCTGCACGCAAACCCACACATACACGCATTCACATACATGCATGCGTTCACATAAACATAGACATTTACACAGGCACATACACACACATACATAAACTCAGTCAGACAAACACATGCACACCCATGCGGTCACACACACACTGACAGACACATGTACACACTCACACAGGTGCACAGACACGCAGAGGGGATTCTGGGAACACTAGGGGGGGCTAGGCAAGACCTCCATGGGGCCCTCCATCGCATCCCACCTGGCATGATAAAATTTATAGCCATTATTTAGCGTAAAGTCTGAATTAATAATATCAACAGAGAATTTAATAAACACAATTCCTTTATTTTCACTTTATTGTGAAAAACTGATTACGCAAATAAAGCAGAATTGTCATTGCAATATACAGTGTAATCGGCCCAGCTCAGGGGCCCCTCCCAGCTCGGGGCCCCAGACCATTGCCTGCCTTGCCTGTCCTGTCCCTACGGCACTGTATACACTCACACATGCACACACGTGGGGCTGTTTGTGTTTCAGTCCAGTTTAAAGTGGCTGCAGTTCTTTCTGGCCTGAATGTCTCACCTTGGGAGACGTGTGAGGAAAAACCTAGAGAAACACTGAGGCAAAGTAACTGCGTTGTATTGATGTGGAGTTTAAGCGCCTGCATACCGTAGTTGTGCGTATCGAGGGGGCCGGGCAGTATGTAAACCGCACCTCAGAGGACAGGTCGGCATCGACTGCGGTCATGACTATGAAATTCATTTTGCCGGTGATTCATTCAGTAGCGAGGAAATGAAAGAGACAGTATGGGCAGTTTAATATCCGGAGGCGGTGTGTCCGGAAGGCACCTACACTGCAAAGACCCCTTTTAAAGTGGCGCAGAACACGCGCCCAGAGTCCGGGTAGGGATTTCTCTTATTCCAACCTGGAACATAAACAAGTCAAAAGAAAGGACAGCTTCAGATGGGGTTTCTAATTTCATACGTGCATGTTAACATTTCTAACTTATTACTTAAAATATGTATACTTCTGAATTTATGCCTTAATCCAGATCAAATGCAAAAGTGCACAGAATGGAGGGAAATAAGTGGAGAGACATTTCATACCCGAGATATTTTTTACCTTAAATATTATCCTTGGCCTTGGCTGTTCTGCAAATACGCTGAACGCGAATGGTGTTGGGATCTGCGCCAGCAGCAGACAGGAAGACGTTTACGGGCATAAATACCACTGTGTCAACAGTCAGAGTCGCCCAGATGCCCCTGGTGCCTCAGCCTCCGGGGGAAGAAGGACTCAATGTGGAAGTGCGTTCATTCTGATGTCGTCTCTCTGTCTGTCTGTCTGTGTTCCAGTTGAGCAGCACATGCCAACTGTATCCTGAGCTTCAGGATTTGTGAGGAGCACGCAGACAGTGCTTTAACGAATTTGTCGTGTGGCTTCCACCCAGCCACACCACTACGGGGCCTCAGATACGTTCTCATTACCTTACTTGAACCCTCATTTCCCCCCTGCAAGCGCGCCCAGCATTGTGTTAAGAGAGCAAAGGTTCGCTGAGCGAAGCAGACAGACTGGGCAGTGTAGCATAGCACAGTCAGACCCACGTCTGTTAAAAGCAGCAGATTCCTGGAGTCTGTGAAAATAGTCTAGTCTGCACCAGACCTTCATTTTCATATGTGATGCAAGAGCTTTTTCACTGTCTGTACCTCATTTTCATATGTACCCTCACCTCAATTCCAGCCCTCTAATATAAGAGCATTTTCTCTGTCTGTACTTCATTTTCACACGTGTCCTCGCCTCAGTCCCGGTCCTCTGCCGTAAAAGTGTTTTCTCTGTCTATACTTTATTTTCAAACGTCTCCTCACCTCAGTCCCGGTCCTCTGCCGTAAAAGTGTTTTCTCTGTCTGTACTTCATTTTCACACGTGTCCTCACCTCAGTCCCAGTCCTCTGATGTAAAAGCGTTTTCACTGTCTGTACTTCATTTTCTATTTCAGGCATTCAATTTCAGAACGTTTTTGTAATCTGTACTTCTCTGCAAAGCTCTCCTGGACATCAGCATTAGTAATAATGCATGGTGTGTGGAGTACTGTATATGGTGTTTGTATAATCAGGATCGCTGTGTGACACAGTAAGTTTGCTGTGCAGAGTTCCAGAACTCTCCCTTTCCACTCCCTCAAAAGACACACACATACTCGTTTTCTCTTAAACACACTTACTGATCTACTGAATGAATCACAAGTCAACCTTCACACTCCTAACGGACTCACAAAAATTACAGGATCTGTTGGAACTGGGCCCCTGTACACATTCACATTTGCGCAGCCTTACCCAGTATGCACACACACAATGTGCATTTTGTGAAGTGTTTATGGTGGAACTGCAGTCTCACACAGAATAAGTATTCAGAGGGTAAATGATTGGATGTTGAAGGTGGTTTGTTCAAATGAGTCTAGCTGTCATTAAAAAGCCACACATTAGGGTGAATGATCGTCAGGGCCTGTGGTTTTTTGCAGCTCACATGCCATATGTCTGTATTATATATTGTTAATTTGTTCATAGATGAGTCTTTATTATTACAAATATTCATGTATGTAGGAAAGCAAGTCAGCACCACTGTTTGTGTGATAGTGCTGTAGAGGCTGATGAATGTGAATGTGTCTGTGTCCTATCAAACTTTTGTCTTGCGGCAACATTATTACCATGAGGTAAGATCAGTGGGTTCTAAAAGCCTCAATGTCAGAGAAACATCCAGAAAGGCTGTTTAGAAGGACTCATCCCCACAAAACAGACCCTAGGGTCCTGGAATTCTCTGCACACCCAGAGGTAGAAATTTCAGGATCACAAAGTAAAAATCCAGGCTGAGTACTCTGTGAGTGTGACTCTTTATGCTCAATTGGTTGGTTGAAACAAAATCATTTACTTTCTGGGCCTGAAATTTCCACCACAGTCTGCCACTCATATTGGTGCTGTTTGTTTGTTAGATTTAAATTCACAGCTTTTTCTAACAGTGAGAGGTCATCCAGAGTTACTCAAAGACGGATCCTCATGGCGGCGATGCCAGTATACTCCAAGATGCACTGTGTATCAGTTAACATATCAATATTGGCTGATGTTCATTAAAAGTCAATACATCAGCATCGGGCCAATGTGTCAGTCTTGGCCAATATTGCTGGCCAATATTTAGACTTCAGTCAATATTAAAAATTAGAGGAACTTCCCTGATATCTCACTGCCTAATTATATGATACGGCTGCAAGACACGTTCATGAGATCTTAAGAAGTAATGACACTGACATCAATTTCCCTGCAGGTCTGTGGAGATCGGAGGTTAGCCGATTATCAGTTTTGGTAATTGGAATTGGGAATATTAGATTTCCATATCGGTGCTCCACTAAGTATGCCTTCGAAAAGCTGCAGGGCTATGGCCCTGCCCAGCTTGTGTGTTCAGGACTCGTCTTTTACGGCTCCTCCTCCAGTACTCCTCTGCGTACCGTAATACTCCTTGATTTTCCCACAATACTCCGCTCCATGCGTCCTGTTTTCTATATGTTTAAGCCTATTGTCTGGTTGCTTTACTATCTTATGTGGTATTTTCTATCAGTATGGGAACTCAGGGCAAACTGCAATCTGGAAATCTCTCCTGGTGCCCTGTCTGGCACTCTGAATGGCCCTCATAAAATGCACCAGGGACCATACTTTTGGTACTTTCTCAAAGTATCAAAAGTACGGTACTTCAAGGTGTTGGTTTTCCACCAGCATAAAAACTGGTACCAGTGCCGAATGACTTCGCAACGTGAGGCAGGGTATTTTGTACTGAATTCAAAAATTACTGTAATATCTTATAGGGCTGGACAGTGTGCAATATTAATACCAACATTGCACATTATGCACATGCAACTCTTACATCGCTAGTCAGCTATATAAAAATCAGGCTTTTTCTTACTTTAAATCCTGTAAGGACATTAGGGTTAGGGTTAAGTTTCACAAAAAAATATTTTTACTCTGTTACTCTGTCATAGAAAATAAAACTAAGCAAGCTTTGCAATTTTAACTACTATTCCTTTTATAGATTATCTAATATATGTTTAAAAATCAGTATAAAATTTACTTTCGCTGCTGATTATGAAGATTTTCATAATCATTTTCATCCTTGCTGTTTAAATCACTCATAGATGGGTTTGTAACAAATTTATGAACTCCTTTTTTTGTTTTATAAATACCCCAATATTTATCTCAACAAAATGACATCACTATATTTACAGCAATATTACATCGCTAGGATCCTAGTATATTTAAACACACCATAGTACATTAAACAAATTCATCCTGATCTTTTTGTTGTATCTATTCTTCCAACCAGATCACAGTTTTTTTTATACTTCCGTTATTGTTGTTTTCAAGGCGGCGTTTGTATTGTGTCTCAGAGGCAGGCTATTTGCATAACCAATCGAGAAAGAAAGCGTTTCAAGTCCCACTCCAAAGTACTGAAGTACCAAAGAAGTACCCCAGCTGGTTTGCCACTTTTGGTACTGGTACTCAAACTGGAAATCAATGAAAAAGCGAGAGTACCAAAAGTTCGGTACTTGGTACGGTGGAAAAGCGCAGTGTGAGATAAAATGCAGTGGCAAAGGTGCCAGATGTTCTCAATACCAGCTAGGTACACACTTCACATGTCCACTGTCCTTCAGGGTTCCTCCCAGGTTCTCCTC